TTCGATGAACCTCTGCATGCGTGCCTCTGCTTCTCCTGCTGGCACATCTGTGCTCTGTTTGTCTGGATGATACTGCCAGTCAAAAAAAGGAAAGTGAAAAGAGGAAAAATGAAAAAGGGAAGGAAGAGAATCAATAATAAATAGGGGATCTGTTTTGAGGTGTTTGGACACTACAAAGGTTAGAGCCACGATGGCATGAAAAAACACAAACAAAGGGAACAATGCTGGCCAGAAGAGACTGCTGCCAGGGTAATTAGGCTACTGCAATAACAGCAAATACACCAGTGGCACAAATGTCACAATGTGCGCTGATAGCATTTTCTGGATAATTTGCCGATGGAATCACTAGTCTTATGGACAATTTACCTAAGGAGAATGATTAATGCAAAGAGAAACAAAGATTCACAAATTAATACAAGATGGAAGAAGAAGCTTATTATGTAATACAGATACTTTCAACTTCGTTAATAAATATGAATGACATCACGTTGTCAATGTTTACCAGCCATTTAAAATACTTGCTTGCATCGGGGGAGGGGGGTATGGAGTTCAGTTAACAAAACACTATTAAATGGAAATACAGTTTGACATATATGTATTTTGAACAGATAGTTCATAATTTTAATGTATACTAATCCCATGAATAAAAAAACCAAATTATTAAAACCTATGGGCCAATGTGTGTATTTTCTATCCAATAATACAACTAAGATAAGTGTGTAAATGCAAAATACAAGTAGCCCTTGACTTACAACCTTTCACTTAGTGACTGTTCAAAGTTACAACAGCACTGAAACAATGGACTTATAAGCATTTTTTGCACTTATGTTGCAGCATCCCTGTGGTCATGTGATCAAAATTCAGATGCTTGGCAAATGGCTCATATTTGTGACACATGATCCTCTTTTTTGACCTTCTGACAAGCCAAGTCAATGGGGAAGCCAGATTCACTTAACAACCACACTACTAACTTAAAAAGAAAGATTGAAAAATGGGCAAGATTCAGTTAACAACTGTCTCGTTTAACAACATAGATTTTGGGCTCAATTGCAGTACTTAGTGGAAAACTACGACCACAATTGAGTAGTAATATTTTATTCTTGCAAATAATATTGCAAATAGGGTATTGTGCAGTAATATATATTTTCAAATCTATTAAGGAAGAAATGCAGTAATACTTCTAATATTCATTTGTCATTAACATATACACTACTTTTTCAAATAGCATGCTATTTAAGATAATTATGTTCAATCTATTACTTTAAAAAAGCTATTTTAAATTAAGTACCTCAAACATTTGAATATATTAGGTTTATATAATATACCCAATAATATTTTTTTTAAAACTGGCATAACATTCTAAATAAGCCTCACTGTTATGGAAATGCCACTTTAAAAAAAATGATTTTTACAAAATGTAAGACAAATCTACATCTTTTAATCATGTTTTCACTTGCCTACAGTTTGAATTGAATACTGATGCCAGAATATATGGAACATAAAGACATACATAAATTACACAGCTCTACTAAAGTCCTAGATTATAAACTAAATCAACAATAGTTTCATCAATGATTTAATCATGATTTGTTATTTCATGGGAATAAAGGTACTATTATAGTTTGTTTTTTGAACACATTTCAACATTTCATTTATTAATATTCCCCAAAACTTCCTATTATTTTTTAGCATTTGTGAATCACAATAAGAAAATATAAATCTAACTTTGCAGAAAGAATACATGAAGAATCTCAAAGTGATTTGCGATTTGATCATTACAAACTATAAAATTTATACTGGTAATGCAATGGAAGAGGCAATGAAAGACTTTGTCTCAACTCCTTTAATCTAGTGGCACCATCTATAAAGATATTTTGAACTGTTTGTTCCATTGTTTGTTCCATTATTTCTGAAGGGAATCAATATGATCAAGCAAAGAAAAATCATGCAATGAACATTTATGCATGTATTATTTCCAGACCATTGAGTCTATATTTCTTTCAATATACATTTGAAAATATGTTTTCCCATTCACTTTTTGTGGCAGAATTGATAACATTTCAATACTATAAATTTGAACTCCAATGAGTTTTTGGCATCTACTGTATGCTGTTTGCTGAAAAATAAAGATCAAAATCCATACGGGGATGGATAATACATTAATTGGGAATAATCAAGATGGCATGAAGAAATGCGCCAAGGAGAATTCTTATCAAGCAGCGTGTCCCAAAGGTGCATTTTCAAGAGGCAACTGGGGCTTTGTGGATTGGTGCTGAAGTGGTGCAGTATGGGGCTTGAGGCATTGGCAGCCCTGGGGATGGAAGAAATAGGTTAAGTGGGGGAGTTGTAGTAACCTAGCGGTTGTAACTGCATGTGGGTAACTAAATGTCCAAATTTTGATCATAGGACCACAGGTCGCTGAATGAATGGTTCCAACTTGAAGACTACTTATAGTTCTATACCTGACTCAGTAAAATTGCAATGAAGTAGCATATCACTAATGAATGCAAATAATAGGTTAGTAACATCTTTCCATTAACTGTTTTTTAAAACAAAGGAACTGCATTACTGAAAAG